ACGACAATACTAATTGACTTTCTGGCATCAGATATGTTCTAAGACATATGGAGCTAAAGGCAAAAGAATAAAATGAAATACAAAGAAAATCCCTAATCTTACAGAGACCCTATTCTTCAAATACTAGGAAGAAAAGTAAGTAGAACCAAATATTTAAAATGTCAGATGACCAATCACATAGAGAAAAAAATAGAATATGGAAAAGAAGATAGCTATCTTTGAGAGCAGACAAGATCAGGGAAAGCTAATAATAATAACAACAACAACAGACTAAGAACTGGGAGGTAACTACTCACCATTGATCTACTAAATGTCATGTTTAATTGCCTCTTCTGCACCCTCACTGACTAGCTAGGCTTTTCCGTTGCACAAGGTACTGTTCATACACCTTTACCGTTTTCCTCTTTAGGCTTCATATTTCTTCCCAATCCTTTGGCAGGTTAATACTAGATTTCCTACCTACTATTTCCAGATACTATAAGCTTCCTCTAGCTCATTTATTTCTTCACAAATATTAGTGTCTTCCTCCAAATTATTTTTGAAAGTTTTAAAACTTTTCTAAAGACTCTCACCACCCAATTTCCTATTCTACCAATCCTGAAGCACAGGATTTTACAAGCAGTTTCTTTTCTCGCTTTATTAAGTATGATTTGCCTAGGCAATGGTTCCCGCTTGCTAGTAATAACCACTAAAATTTTCAAATAAATAAATTCCAAGTTGTCTGTGAGGTTTATTTTAAATCTGATACTCCCGTATACTACAAACACATTTCTAAAGCCAAAGTCATTGAACCAGGAAACTTTCTTCTCTCTTGCACCGAAAAGTCCTATACCTTCCAAGTCCATCCTCCCTTGTACTTCCCTTGACATTTGCCACTATATATATAATATATATGTGCCACTATATATATGTATATATATATATATATATATATTTGGTGTCTGCTTTTTTTCCTGTCTATCTTGGGCACAGTTATTTGAGCCTCAGCTGGTAGGCAAGGGGAGATGGTTTAGCTATAACTGATACTCTTAAGCATTTAACATGCTTCCTTAGTCATACATTGAATAAATATGTACTTCCATGCACCTGACATTTAACTAATGTTTTTTCTGTGTATGTTTAATACTTAATACAGTCAACATGCATTAGTGTTTAATAACTTTGCTTTTAATAGCTGAGATAACTGAGATTCTGATTTGAATACTATGCCATATTGTGGATTAGAGAGATGTCCAAATGGTTAAGAGTAGTTACTGAACTCAGGGTTCAGGTCCCAGTATCCACATGTGGGCTCACAACTGTCAATAACTACAGTTCCATGGGATCTGAAGTTTCCTTTTGACCTCTGTCAGCACTAGGCATAGACATGGTGCACACACATACATATAACTCAAACACTCATACAAAAAAATAAATTTTCATAAATATACATTCCCAAATTGGAGACAAAATTAATAAAAACAACAGCAAGAAAAAAAATAGAGAAGTTTAGATAAAAGCTTCTTTAAACCCTGCTGGCCATGAAAAAAAACCTGAACTGCAATTCCTCATCAATCAAAGCCACAACAATGACAAAGAAATGAACGTTACTAACAAAGATGAATAGTTATTCAGTAAACCAGTACACATCTATGCTAAGTTAAAACAAAAGAGAAACATGAACAAAGCATGATGGCAACTTCCACCAGGTGTTAAAACAGAGAGAAGAGCCAGGCAGTGGTGGTGCACTCCTTTAATCCCAGCACTCGGGGGACAGAGGCAGGTGGATCTCTGTGAGTTCGAGGCCGGGCTGGACCAACAGCCTCCAAAACAATACAGAGAAACCCTGTCTTGTAAAACCAAAAAAAAAAAAAAAAAAAAAAAACAGAGAGGAGCAATGGGACTTGTAATTAAGTTTTAAGGGCAATACTATGAAAATAAATGAAGCAGTCCAGAAAAGGAATGGCCTGCCTAATGTCTGCCATAATTGTTATAACCATATCTTAAGATATTAGAAAGGCAATAGCAATACTGTAAGGATAAAATCGATTTTATCTCCTCAATCTTTTTTTTTTAAGTTTAAATTTAGATTAGAAACAAGGTTGCTTCACAAGTCAGTTCCAGGTCCCTCTGTTTCCCTCCCCTCCTCCCGTGTCCTCCCCCAACCCCACCAATAGCCCCTCATTTCCCCAGAGAGGGTGAGGCCCTCCATGGGGGTGTCCACAGTCTGTCATTTCATCCAGGGCAGGGCCTAGACCCTCCCCCAAGAGTTCAGGGTGAGAATGCATCTCACATTGTTGGATGGGAGCCCAAAGTCCATGTGTATACTCTTATCTCCTCAATCTTAATGAAGATAAATTTATAACAGATTATAACTTCCCAACTCTAAAATTACTTCTATGCATCTATACATCCAAGGTACAACATTTACATGAAAAGGAATTAAAAGGCTTTCCTCTAATTACTCAAGCCATGCAAAAGTTCTGTTATGATTATACAAAATTATAGCAACATTGGCTTAAAATACTCTATGCAATTTAATAATTCTCTTTGTGACAATTCCAGAGACATAAAAGTCCCAGAAGATCAAAAATGACATAAATGGTATGATTCAAATGTAAGCAACTAAAATTTACTTTAAAAGAGTAAGAATAGGGTTGGGAGTTGGTGATGCATGCCTTTAATCGCAGTACTTGGAAGGCAGAGGCAGGTGGATCTCTGTGAGTGTAGAAGAGGCCAGCCTGGTCTACAGAGTGAGTGCCAGGACAGGCTCCAAGGCTACAGAGAATCCCTGTCTTGAAAGAAAAAAACAAAAAAAGAAAAGAAAAAGCTTTGAAATAATTTTTCAGACTAACTACTTTCAACTAGAAGCAAAACAACAAAACAAAAAATACAGTAGACAAACTTAAAGATTCTCAACCCTATAACTTCCAATATAGAGAAAAGCTATCAAATTACTTAGTAAGTAAAAGCGTGGGCGAATAAATTAATGAATGGTATCCTTAAGACTCAAAAGTTTTACACTCTGCAAAATGTGATGCAATAGGAACTGACTTTTTTTTAAGGAAGGTAAGGGTGGGGTGGGGTTGAAGCCAAAAAAGCCAGTTTTCCACTCAGCAGAACAGAACAGTCTGAGATTATTATTATGTTGAACTACTTGAAATCATCAATATTCAGCTGTTCTGCCAGACAATTATATTTCTTTTTTTTTTTTTTTTTTTTTTTTTTTTGGTTTTTACGAGACAGGGTTTCTCTGTATTGTTTGAGGCTGTCGGTCCAGCCTGGCCTCGAACTTACAGAGATCCTACTGCCTCTGCCTCCCTAGTGCTGGGATTAAAGGCGTGCGCCACCATTGCCCGTATTTTCTTATATTTCAACCTAACTCATTATGATAGAGAACTTTTAATGATGACATCTTATTTTGTTAGAAAAAAATCAGAGTTAAAGGGTTGGTTCTATTTGACTTAAACCAGACTCATAAATCATGCTCATTCCGTATTACATCAGGATCCACATAGAACACACATAGTGACTGAATATTATGACAGTTGTCAATTATATTTCCAAAATTTCTCACTTAGATTGCAACAGTAGTATCAGCACAGCTTAAATGGTGAAGATTCTTAGAATGGCGATCGAGCCTTTTATTCTTAGCATGCATAGGATGGTAAATAAACATGGGGTGAATATTTCTATCACTGTAAATATCGATCAGTAAAAATCTGGGAAGAGTTATAAAACACTCTTCATGCACTATGATAATAAGATACAAATTCTGGAACCCATGTTTCAACCCTGTTTTCTATACAGACTCTACACCAGTAGAGTTTTAAACAATTAAAATAAGCTGCCTGCAGGAGTCTCCCAAAAAGATTCTTGAAAGGAAGGCATTCTGTGGTTACTATTTCTCATTCCATGTAAAGTTGACTGGTACACCATATATATAGTCAACTGAAATTCTTTATCACCTTCAAGATGTTTGGTGAGGGCTTCACTGCAAAATAAAACTATGAAATAAAATTCATAATCATATTGCATTTTCTTTCCGGTGCACTTAAAATCACTAAAAACTGAAAAAAGTTATTAGCTGCCACTCTTCACTGCATAGCACATCCTGAAATATTTAACTATCTATAATACGAGAAAATGAAGGACTCGGTGCCCCTGCTCATTCCAAGTACATTAAGTGGTAGAATTTAATAATAATAATAATAATAATAATAATAATAATAATAATAATAATAATAAAACAGGATCCAAAAATTCTGAAAGTTTGTTTATTAGAAGGGTTTACTAGCAGTGGTTATTACCACTGCTAGGTTTTTTTGTTTTGTTTTTCCCTCCCTTGGTTTTTAAATAAATGTTGCCCTGACATGGGATTAAATTGGATGAAAAGGGAGAAACAGTAAGAATGGAGAACAAAGCAAAATCTGAAGCCATGGTTACAGCACCAGGAAAGGGCTAAGATAAGGAACCAGCGCTGGCTCTTCCCTAGTCAGTGCTCGTGAATAAATCACCAAGCTGGAGCTATTGTTCCTGGTGTAGCGCTGGCCAGGGACACTTCCTGGGGGATGCTCTATCATCTCTCCTGCCGAGACGCGGTAGGAACGGAAGGAAGGCTACCTAGGAATGTCCCAGGTGTGTGTCCGGGACTCGCCGGAGGCGGGGCGAGTCCCGAGGGGCCAGCGAGGGCTGGCGACTCGGACGTCGCCGACCTTAGCCGAGAATACAGTTTGCAAAGATAATAAAGCCCGAGCAGAGACGCTGACTACCCAGAGGAATTCGGGGGTCAGGAAGGACGAGAAAAGGGTGGGAAGGCCTTGCAGGAGAGAGGACCAGGGGCTCCGACCACGCGGGGAAGCGGGGGACCGTGCGCGGCAGGCAGCCCGCGGTCACCGCTCCGTCCCGGGCATCGGCGGCGGCAGGGAGCTCGCCGCAGGGCCGTCCGGCCGCACTGTCCCGGGAGTCCCGGCCCGGACTCCGCCCGCTCGAGCCTGCAGCCGCATCCCCTGGCGTCTCACCTTCCAGCCCCTCCATGGCGCGCCGCCTCGGGATCCTCAGGCAGCGCCCGCCGCCGCCCAGCTCCCGCTGTAGCAACCCAGCATCGCCTCCCACACGCTAACATCCAGCTCGCCCATTGGTCCATGCTAGCTGGGGCGGGGCTAGGGAGGGCGGGGCCGCGCCTCCGGCGGTCTCCAGGGTGAATGCTCCCGTAGCCTGGGTTTTTCCAGCCGCCCTCCCTGGGAGCCACCTCAGATGGCGTCCTGAGATCCTGCCACGCCTTTGTTCCACGCCGGAGGCACTTAGCCTCCCTCCTTGTTTTCCTGAGCAGCTCCGGAGCGCCTTACCTCCAGTCAATGCAAGGTTTTTTTGAGGGTCGCTAGAAGCATAGTAGCTCTTGTAGCAATCAAAAAGAGCCTAGGTCCCACATCTTCCTGGGTTTGCCTTTTTGGTCAAACATACCCCTGACTTGCTCTGCAGACAGCTCCCACCCCTTTTTATTCCCAGACACAACGTTTCTTAGATGGATTATATTTTCTTTCTGGGATTGTGAAACTGAGGTTGTACTAAACTTTTAAAAACAATTACCTCAGCATAAAAAGTTGGAACCAAAATTAGAAGTGAAACTTCTGCTCTCACTCAGTCTTCCCTTCCCAGCACTGTATTTTCACTCAGTCTGCTCTCCTTAGAACTAATGAAGTTCTACATCGCCTCAAAACCACTCCATACTGAGGAGTTTAAACTGGGAAGCCAGCCTACCAGTGGCGCAAGGAGGCCTGTTTCTGTAAGAATCAAAACATTGGGTTGAAGACCCAAAAGGAACCCCAACCATTTTAATGACTTTGCTTCAAAATTTAACACGTTTCCTCCAAACTAAAGCTCTTTAAATTTTTTACTTAGGAAAAATAAACCCTATTGTTTGTTGATTCCAAGGTACATACTGATAAGTATTATTTTGCCCAGTTTATTTTTTGTTTGTTTGTTTGATTGTTTGTTTTGATTTTTCGACACGGGGTTTCTCTGTGTAGCTTTGTAACCAGGCTGGCCTTGAACTCAGAGAGATCCACCTGCCTCTGCCTCCCGGGTGCTGGGATTAAAGATGTGCGCCATAACCACCCAGCCCTACATTATTTCTTATGTCTAATTATGATATGTCTAATTCAAAAGTTGTCTTATCTTAATTATGTATATATTTAACAAACCAAGAGGTCACGACTTTTGTTTAAACAAGCAAATACCAAGGAGTCTTGTCTTTGAGAAGATGCTGGAAGTGCATCCAAACGAGGTAGAGACCCTCGCTTAAAGAATTATGCAGGAAAGGGCCCATTGGTGAATTGCCTCTTGAGTCCTTCCCTGCTTCTTCTCTGGCCCTTCCTCAATTCCGAGGGAGTTTCTAAACCAGGACAGCCTCCTTGCTGCCACACAGGCAACTTAGCTAGTCTATACTGGCTGTAGAGTGACTTTTTTTCTCCATGCTTCTAAAGCAAAATCAGATGGGCTTTTACAAAAATGCCAAAGACGAAAAATGCACATAATGAAAATACAAAAATAAAGAAGCCATTTATTTTGCAAATTGCAAGTGTTTCACCTGAAGACAAATAGGTGATGAATACAAAACTTATTGGCCATAAAATCTAGAGTAACATCAGTAACAATAATAACAACAAAAACAGAAGTACACATAATGTGAAGCAGGTCAGTGGACTTAGGTAAAAGCACTTAGAGTACAAACCTGGCCATGTGAGTCTGCTCTCCATGACCCACAGTGGAAAGAGAGACCTCCACATATGAAAGCCATGGCACATGCGCACCTGTATTTACACACATCATCATACAGCACAGTAATTATGAAAAGGAAAAAATATGTGAAGTATGTTTTATGCCTCGTATATCTATATATTCAATCTACAAAGCCAGTCTACAGAATAGATCCTACAATCTTCAGTTTTCAAAACTAAAATCTTCATTCTAAATTTCTCAGTGACTAATGTGTTGTCAATATTTGTGCCAGAATGAATGGCAGAACTTGGATTTAGTCTCCGCGGGTTATAACACTGAAGCCTACCAGGATTTCCTTATATTTCTCTCTGCCTGTCTTGTCTCCATCCTATAACAAATAAGAATTTAAGCTTTCAGACATGTTGCTTAATATGCATTTGGATAGGCATTTCCATAGTGAATCTTAATTCTCAAATCATGTTTGCTAGTCTTCTTTGGAGTGCTGGAGTCCCAGCACTTCCTGTTATAGCCATTTTGTCTCCAGAAGCTATCCCCGGGTACCAGCTCCAACATGAAAGATAGCACATTCCTCTCTGATTGCCTATGTTCCTTCCCTGCCCCTCGAAGCCAGTATTGTGAATATCTTTCTTCTTGGCACATATCTCTGATGTAACATCTCTATAGTCCATTACTTTTTCCTCATGCATTCATTTAGCAAGCATTTATTGATTACCTTTTTGGCTTCAGGCCCACTTTACTACTAGGCAGATACAAAAGTGAATGTTATCTGTACACTATGTTAGTAAGTAGTTGATAATGAGATTTTTCTCATTTTCTTACCACACAAAAGGGGAAACTAAGTTAGAAAAATGTTTGTCTGACCTGATCCAGACCCCCAAAGTAGGAAGTAGATTAAATAGATATTCTACTGTGTCTTATTACATAAAACCTGGGTCTAGGTCACTTTTTATTATGTTCCCTTCTGTCACCATTCACTCCTTCTTCAGCTTCCATAGGGCTAAGTCAGCTACACATTATCTTTGTGTTTGGAAGCCTCAGCTTTTTGTTGGATCTCGCCAGAAGTTCAAGTTCCTTTTCTAAACTCAGCCTTTGGCTCCATTCAGATCATTTGCACGGTGCAGCTAAATGAGATTCTAAATCTCAGTGAGAAACCATGGCTTAGGGTAAATCAGCTTCACTGTGTAGGACTTTTATCTGTGGCAACATGGTGAATGACCTGAAGTTTGATATTCAAAATATATATATATATATACATAATAAATAACAATCATAAGCAAATGGTATATTTTAGTATTAAATCAAAAGAAACATTGTAGTTATAAGTAAGGGCAAAGGACTGTTGTAGACTGAAGATGCAAATTTTGAACTAGGTAAGGTGTTTTGTTTTGTCGTTAGATTGAAGTAAAATCCATTAAAAGTTCAGGGGAAAAGTAGGAATGGTTGATTATTGCTTTGGACAATCAGGAATGAAAAGTATGCTGTAAGAGCTAGAGACTTGTTGAGGGAAAGGTTATTCTAGGCAAGAAAACACCAAATAAGACAGGAAGTTTTGATAAAGAGCAACCTAAAGCTGACTTCATCTCTTTCTGTTTATATATAGCTGCATTATCTACAGGGAGCAACAGATCCAAGCCTTTCTGTTAGCAGTTAGGGAAGGATCCTCCATTCTTCTCCACTCTCTAATTTATTTCTACATAGAAACCACTACATTTTTCAACCTCCCATTAGGATCCCACCTGTTCATTTCTTGCAATAAGGATTTCTACTGCAATTTGCTGCAGATCTATTAGGTGTCCATTGGGATCTCCCTACATACACATCAGTACTTGGCAAGAAGTTTTAAATATGCCTCTCTGATCTCTAGGAAGTCCATTTCAAGTAGAGGGAGTCTTGCAATAGACATGAGGCAGAGCTAAGTCTTAGATGCCATGGAACAACTTCTAAAGGCAATTTGTTTCAGTTATTTATATGAATGGAAATATCTAAAAGATTTATAAGAGGCAGAAGTTAAATTGTATCTTGAAGAGTATCATTGGAAAGTAGGAACCACTAACAACACAAACGTGTAGGCCTACAACACAATCGTGTAAGCCTTATTAAGAAAACTATGTCAGTCTGGAACATTCTGGGAAAGAGAATAAAGAAACAAAGATAGTGCTTGAATAAATGTTTATTATTGTATAATATTTCAGACAATAGAATTTATTGATGTCAGATGCAAGGAACCGAATTAATTCTACATTCTAATATATCTTTCTAAAAATTTTGTAATCTTGTCATTCATTCTCTTTTAAACTCCGTGTAAGTGTCCCTCACTATAGGCAAAATTATGCTACATCAGTGCTCTAAAGCAGTGGTTCTTAACCAGTGGGTCACATCCCCCCAGAGACCATCAGAAAACACAGATATTTGCATTACGATTCAAAGCAATATCAAAATTACAGACACGAAGCACCAATGAAAATAATTTTATGATTGGGAAGGAACTGTATTAAAGGGTCACAATAGAAAGGTTGAGAACCACTGCTCTGAAGGCATAGAAACCTGTGAGTGTGAGTGATTCCCTTCAAACATAAATGGTGCTGTTTCATGTGTTTATGATTTTAACGTGTATAAATTACATTTTGCTATAGATTTCTGTTTAGTTATGATTTTTATTTTTTAAATTGCTTTTTGAAACAATGCCTTGTGGGTGCCTGTCTGGCCTGTAACTGCTATGTGGCTTAGGCTGTCCTTGAACATCCCGTCCTCTTGACTCAGTCTTCCCAGTGCTTGGATTATAAATATTGATCACGACTCCCAAATTTAATTTTTGAATTAAAAATTTTAATGTATGGCCCGAGACTCACAAGTCTGAAATACTGGGTTGCTGCTTCTGAACGATGGGTAGTAAATTCCTGATGCATGCATCACACTTTGCCTTGCCAGGCCAGTAGCGAAGAACAGTCAGTCGACTCTAAGCTGCTGCTACAATGAACATCTTTGTGCATGTCCCCCTATGAACCTGGGCTCAAGTTCCTCCTGGATGCCTCCCTGGGATAGATTACTAGGCCATATTTATTTCCACTAAGTATGGCCAGGTTGTTCTCTACAGTGCTATACTGCTCAGGGCAGTGTACATGATTCTCAGTGGCATGTGGAGAACCACCCCTCCGCATCTCATTAATAGCTGCCTTACCTCTACTTTGTATCCATTTTTTGAAAGTTATGAGTTGGTTGATTACTTAAATACACAACAATTCTTATTTTACATTCAATGCTATCACTTTGACTTGTTTAGATATTTAAGTTTAGCTAATTTATGCTATTTAAAATATTTTTCCAGTTTGTTCATCCTGCCTTTGATGATTCATTAAGAATTATTTTAATGATGCTTCTGT